AGAAGAAAAGAAGTTGTTAAGCTCAAATTTGTATAAATACAAAACAAAAGCATTATTTGCCTATATATAGTCGATTCTTGTATTATATGTCAATTCAATTCGATGGTTAACGTTACCTCCTTTTTGACTCCTCTCTCCTTAGTAAAAAATTAGGTCAAATATATGAGTGTCGCTAAAAGAAACCCTAAAATTAAATATGACTTATACTTAAATTTTCGGGGGTTTTTTTTTAGCGACACTCATATAATTTTGGTTTTAACTGGAGTGCATAATGCCGGGTTAAATTAAGATTAGAAATTGTAAGGGTCCGAAAAATGCTGAAAAGAAAATGAACATAAAAGGCAAGCAAGGTCAGCCGAAATATCAGATTGAAAAAAAAATTATTAAAATTTACTATGTATACGTTCCATTTTTTTCACTCCTTCTCACTTTCTAGAAAGAAATGTAGCATAAACCACCGAATTAAATTAGTCTCGCTTTAGATTTAGGCATCTTAAACATCGGCAAAGTTTTTTAAACGAATCTACTTTAGGCAACTCCAAGTTGATTCCTTATTTAACATAAAAAAGTATTTCATAAAAGGAGGGAGGGGGTATTAAACAACACCCAAAATCCAAAAATACTGTAATTCTATTGGCTGTAAAAAAAAAAATAAAAAAAATAAAAATTCAAAAGGCTAATACTGCAAATTGATTGGTTAATGTGGTGTTGATTTTTTATGTAAATTTTTAAAAAATAGGGGGGTTATGTTGAACATAAAATTAATTTGGAGTGGCCTTATTCCTATTTTAGAAAAAAACCTTATATTGTCAGGGAAAAGATGATTTGTGGACTCATAACATCATGGAATCTTCTAAGAACTAAAAAAAAAAAACTAAAGGTTATTACTAACCATTGGGGACAAGCGGTAAATTTCATTAAATTTACCTTGCATCATTCCGTAACAAAAGCAGTTAACTATTTTGAGAATCGGTAAAAAATTATTTATTTTTGTGGTTCTTTATGATATTACGTGTTATATCTAGGGATAATAAGAAACCCAAATTGGTTCTGTTTTATGGTTTTTTTCCCATGGAACAAGATACGGAGCAAAATTCCGTGGTTTTTTTGTTTGTTTTTTGAAACACGAAAATACGGAGCGAATATTCCGTGAATATTTTTAGCTTTCGATACGCAATTACATCTTTCCATTATTCTTATGCATACTTACGCACGTACGTGCGTACGTACGTGCATGCATCCTTTCATGTGGTATATAAAATTGTTTTATGTATGGCGCAAGGTATGCATTTCCCTTTTTGAATTTAGATGATAACTGATTTCTAGATTTAGGGCTAATGCTTATTCTCCAAATTCGAAATATTAAAAGGACGATTAGACATTTACTTACTATATTAAGTTTCAGCAAATTGTTTAAAATATCCATAATTTTTTGTTCGAATATTTGTCTTCCATAAACGGCACTTTATAAATGTGAGCGTTGCACATTTATACGGCAATCAGCAGGATCAAGAACAGTCCAAATTAGAAAATGCCTATACTATCGAAAAAGGTTTTATTGAAAGCTCGCCTGATTTATTTCGATTTGGGAAAGCTACAGACACAGCAACACGTGATTTATCTCCCTTATCGACACAG